CAAATAACCCAGATCATAAAATCGTCGATAGAACATCAAAAAATAACAAATGTTTTTTTGACGCAAATTAGGCGGTCGATTTTGCCTTCGGCTTTTGCATTTTTTCTGTAGTGCGATAACTATGTATGTGAAGTGCATTCTTCTCACAAAGGTTATTGTGCAACATTTAATAATTCAAAAAATTGTTCTCTCTGTTTGATTCTTGATCATCATTAGGCACAATCCTAACAAAATGAGATTTGTTGACATCACTAATCATTTCCTCATGCACGTCAAAATCATAAATTGTTGGACGGGTGTAACTTCATGAGGCTCCAGCATGATCAAACTGAACAACTGGTTCAAACTCACCACGTGAAGTCCAATACCAATCATGGGGTTTAAATCCCCTACGACATATTTCCAACTTCACTTCATCAGACGTCATGCAAGCTTGATTCTTGTGCTTCACACAGGAGCATCTGAACCCACCTTTTGAAAGTTAAATAGGGAGTTGCGATGCCACCTGCACGAATTCCTCAATACCAGTTAAAAACTCACTAGTAAGTCCTTTTCTTGATGAATACAATATGTTATACATCCATGATCTCATTTTTTGAATATTCATCTGCATCATAGATATAACTCTATAGATTTGTATAATTAGATATAGGTCATTCAGACAATACGAATCTCAATGATTTACTAAATCCTGGATTTAAAGCCAAAATACATGAAATTTGGATTTACAACATGCCAAGATTCATTTTGTCCAAATTGACCATCTAGCAAGATTGTTGAAATCCTGGCTAAATCCCACCTTAAATCCGTTGCCAGATAACCCCTAACTGTCTACCACCTAAACTTTACATTTCATAAAAAAAAAAAAAAAACAACACAACCCCTAAACAGTACATAGCTAACACAAACTTTTTTAGGCATTTACATACATAAGACAAAATTATTATATATTTGCATATCTCATACCTTAACTTTTATATTTAAACACATAACACTCAAATCTTTACTATATTTTGGGGCATTTACAAGTCATATCACAAAATTCTTATGACTTTACATATCTCACACCTAAACTTTTACATGTAGACACATAATACTCAAATCTTTTATATCACGAACACTAACTCCACCTAAACACAGAGTCTAAGCATTACAATCAATCAAAACTTTTTTGGGGCATTTAAATACATAGCATAAAGTTTTTATGTATTTATGTATCTCTCACCTAAACTTTTATATTCAGACATATAACACTCAAATCTTTAATACCACATCAAAAATAACACTAACACCGTCCAAACACAAAACCTAAGTAGTATGTGGCTAACACAAATTTTTTTGGGGCATTTACATACCTAGCACAAAATTCTTATGTATTTATGTTTCTCACACCTAAACATTTTAGACACATAACACTCAAATCTTCAAATTTTTTTGGGGTATCTCACACCTAAACTCTTATACACATAACACTCAATTCTTCAAAATCTTTTTGGGCATTTACATACTATCACAAAATTCTTATATTTAGGCACGTAACACTCAAATTGATCAAAAAATTTTTGGGGCCTCTACATACGTAGCACAATAACTTATGTATTTACATATTTCACATCTAAACTTTTATATATGTGTACGTAACACTCAAATCTTTAATATAACATGAAAAATAACACTGACAACACATAAGAAACCATCTAATCCCTATGCATTACATATTGATCTGAAAATAGCATGAAAGCATGCATTGAATGAAAAAAAAACCAAAGCTTGGAGGCAATCACCTTGGATGAAGAATGAGCGGTGAAAACGAGCCGGAAATATTGGAACCGAGGTGGGACAGTGAGGAGAGTTGGAGGGGAAGAAGTTGCAATCATGAGAAAAAAAGGAGAAAGTGTGGCCTGCAGCTTGGGTTGGGGGTTTTTAGGGCATTAGTGTCCGCTTATTCTGACACTAATAAGTAATGATTAGTGTCGACTACTTCCGACGCTAATCCGACGCTACAACGTCCATTTAATGTCACCAACTCAACGGAACTCTCGTCCGCATAGATAACTTCATCCCTAAGACCGCGCGCGACGCTAAACAAAAGCAAATCGGACGAAATTTTGGATCAATATTATGTCCAACATTAATTTTCGATGCTGTGATGGAGAGATAAAAATGGGAAGAGAGGGCTGCTGAAACATGGTGGGAAGGAGGAAAAGAAAGAAAAAACAATTAGGTGAGAGAAGAAGTATGTGGTAGATGTAGCTCACGGTTGGAAGAAAGGAAAGGTGGGAGCCGCTTGGTAGGTTTTCACGGCAAGAGGGAGAAGTGTGAGTTTCTCTTTTTTGGTTTGGGAGCAGTGGTGTTGATGCTTTGCCCCCCTCAAAATCAGATTTTAAGGGTAGTTTGATCTTTTGCCCAGTTTGATCTTTTGCCTCTCCTGAAATATTAATTTTGCTCATTTTGAAATATCATTTTTCTTTTTGTTGCCCCAGCCCCTCCCATATTGGGTCCAGGAGGCACTTCTGCCGCTGTTCTTGGATGAGCGGGTATGATGAGATTTATCTTGACATGAATTCAAGGCAAGGGTTACCATTCTCATAAGTCATAATGGGTTATCAAGTTTTTTGGGTGCGATTCAGGTTGTGTCGTGACAATTTGGGCTTTAATTCAATTTAGATTTAATTAAAGTTTAATTATATTCGAGTCTTTAAAATCTTTTATTTTTATTTTATTTCATTTGTTTTAAATTATATTTAAGTTTATATTTTTAGTTTTTATGTTAGGTATGTTTACATAAGTACTACCTAACTAGCATGCATAAAGTGGTATCCGTGTAAATCCTTTTTTAATTTCATGTGTTTTAATTATTCTATTTTTTAAAAGTAATATTTAATTTTAATATTTATATTTATATTACCTTTTCGTTTGTGCTTTAAGTTTCAATTTTAATTCTTTTAGATTTTAATTTCATTATTATTATTATTATTATTTCTTCTTCTTCTTTTACTTCCTCCAAATTATCATGGCCTCAACACGCCCCTAAATGAAATTCAATTCGGGTGCGAACGGGCTCATTTGAACGGTTTCACGCGCTAGTACGATTCATTTTCGTGAAACGACGCCCCAAGCAAAACTTTTTACTTAGGAGTGTAAAAATTCGAAGCGCAGTAATTCACGTAAAAAAAGTTTGTCAAAACACAATCAAACTCATAGTATACACTTTTGGGCATAATCATGAATCTGATGTAGCTTACAAAATTGAATTTCAAGCACTACAAAAGGAGTTGGAGAGCCAACAATAATCTTCGCCTGTTTTTACGTGTTAAATTCAATTCAGTTCAATTCAAGTTTCAATTAAGGTTTGTTTTATCTGACTTAAGTTTATTATCATTATTATTATCATTTTAGTTTCAAGCCAAGGCCAAATGGGAGAACATAAGAGGCTAAAGTCTCTACGATCAAAGGGTAGCTTAAGGCACTTTCAACCTATGGGAACTCAACCCGGGTCTCAATGACCCAAGTTTAACCTCTCAACCAAAGTTCAAGGGTTTGAAACCAAGTGTTTGAAACACATAAGACTAAAGAGATGTTTGAAATTCTATTTAGGTATTGGTTCCACCAGTAGCCCTTTAGGAATGCCTTTAAAGAAACCTTAAGCCTAGATCCTAAGAAGTTAGGAGGAAGGAGAGGAAGGACCTTATACAAAAATGATCTCAACACTCACACAAAAAAAAAAAAAAAAAAAAAAAATTGGAAACATGGGTTTGAAATGATCTTTATTAGAATTTAACCTAATCGAATAAGTTTTCTTAATACCAACTCACCGCTTACTATAAATTGGGTTGAATTAACTGCCTTAACATCTGTCTAGAACATGGTGAGCTTGGTAATCACATTAGAAAATTTGTCCTTCAATTTAACCACCACTTATTTTAGTTTTCCATGAGCATATGTTAGTTCAACACACTCATACATTAACACGACCACATCTCAAATTTTAACCTTCTTAAAGGCATTCAACTTTAAGGAAAACTCCTCCATCCTCCTTGCCTACTCAACACCCAAATTCTCTAAGGGCAATGCAAGGGTCATGGTAGGAATGGCTATTAGAGATTTCTCAAGAGAATGCCCTACAAAAGAAATAGCAAAAAAATTTAATTTATTTACTTGTTTCAACTCTTTCCTTAGTGGTGTGAATTTCTATAAGAACCATCAGGTTTGAACATTATTAAAATATGGCTAGAACATTATTCAAACACATCTGATTCATATTCAAATATCTTTTCACTTGAATATGACTAAAAGTGATTCAAAAAAATGTTTCTAATTTTCTTTAAACATGGTTTCAATCTTATTCATACCATGAACAAATCTTGTTCACATTATTGCTGTGGATTTAAACTAGTATCTTGTATAAAAAAATGAGTTTGTTTTAATCCAAAACAAACTTTTAAGTATATTCTAATATACAAATAAATAAGGAATAATGGGCATTTTTTTCTAGTTTTTTATCATTATGAGATGCATAAAGTCAAAATGTTATTAGTTTAGCTGACTTCATATAAACTTTAACCATTAAATTTGATCTGATTTAGCTTTGATTTATGATGCATTGACACATCACTATAAATATATATGTAGTGATTGATACATGTTATACATGAACATGTATGGAATGTATTTGATACGTGTAAGATAAATCTATGATTTATCTAATTTCAAAAAAAAAAAAAAATCAGACTAACATATTCAACATGCATGCCCTTAATTATTAAGTATAAATTTTATAAATCATAACTAATGGTATAAGCAAATATTAAATTTTAATGAATTATGTTATACTAAACAATTACTACTTAGAATATGATCACTTATTATTTTTATTATGTTTAATAATTTTTATAACTTTATATATATATATATATATATTGGGGCATTTATAAGATATATATATATATATCATATACTACTAATTTGGTTTATTATTTCATGCTTATTTAATTCAAACTTGAACGGTCCCGATTAACGATCATTTCCCCGTCTTCATATCGGGCCGAAAAAAACCCTCCCTCCGGTAAGAAGGAGAGGAGAGCTCCAGCGACGCCATGGCACCTCTAATTCCGAGTTCACAGCCATGGGTGGAAAAATAGTAACACTCTTTCCTCCTACCCTTTACACCTATTTTCTTCTATGGCGTCCTTTGATCTCTAAACTTTTTCGCGTTATTACCTTCCCATCTTCAACAGCCGGCCGAAGCAAGTGAAGGACGTAGCGCACCAGGAAGAGGTTGTTCGGGTTCTCACCAACACGCTAGAGACTGCCAACGTGAAGACCCATCACCTTGCCTAGTTTCCCTCGCCTTGGTTTCTTCTGACATTTGCCTTTTTATCGCGTGATTCTGGGGTTATCTTTTGTGTTCGTTGGTATTTCAGTGCCCTCATATGCTATTCTATGGACCTCCTGGAACGGGCAAAACCACAACGGCTCTTGCCATTGCACACCAGCTGTTTGGGTAAGAGCCCCATGTAACGAAACTTTCACGAACAAATTGATCGTTTTATGTCATGATCACCAACTTAATTAACCAGAAATTTTCTTCATTACACTTGATTTTAGTTTGCTTGTTGCATAGGTTATCTGTTTATTTACTGTCTTGTGGAAGAGTTGCAAAAGTTATGCTGATTAACTTCATAGTTTTTTCCTTGCATATCATCTTGTTCTTTTAAAATAGACGCACACATTGCTTCTGTTTTGTTTTGCTTTGTTGAAGATGAGCTATGTGTTTTGCAGCTGCTGTTTTAAAAAGTTGTGGTGCTATTTACCATTTTGTGTTTAGCTTATGCTACAAATGCTATGTACATATCTTGCAATTTCCATCCACGTGCCTTGAGTTTGTTTTCTTGAATGCTTTAAGATCATTGTAATGATGAAAAACCCGATTTTTGTTCACCTACAAAGAAATTTAAATTAGTGGCATAATTTATTTGTAATCATTGTGTTTTAGATCTAGTCATTGTTTCCATAAAAGTCACTGCTTTGACGAAGTAGTAGTCATGCCCAAGGCTATCAAAATCAGACCGGACATCAAAGTGGAAGAAGGAAATGTTCAAGGTACATTGGTTCGAGTAGGGCTGAACCGATGACATAATAGATACAAAATTAATTAAATATGATCTAAATGATGCAATAATGATGTAATAAATTAAATATAAAAAAAGATAAACAAATGAAATATGATGATAAGCAGTATATTCAAAATTTGAATTTTTAAAATACTTCAAAATTTAAACTATTAACCTGTTTTTTGTAGTCTTGAGTAAAGTGTAGATGATGCATTTAAATTTAGTATTTTGTTGATTTAAAAAATTGATCATCTGAAACAAAAATAAGAAACAAGAACAAGTTAATAACAACTAAGAAGTGGAAACTATCTTGATTTAACATACATATTTATTTTGTAATTGTAATTTTTAAATGAAAGGTGAAAATTTATAACACTAATAAGTCATGATTCATATTAAAGTATAATCTTAGACAAAATGTATAATATTTATAAAGCAAAAATTTAGATTTTCATACACATTTAATAAAATAAAACTTGAGATTGAAAACAAAAGAAATTACAATTATAAAGTATAAACAAAACTATAAATAGTTTAGTTTAAAAATGAAACGAATTCAAATTCATCTTTAATGAAGGTTTTCACAAAATCCGATTTCAGAAAAGTTGATTCATTCTAACAATGCCTCTATTTTTGTATAAAGTCTCTCAATGCCTGAACTTATACTATTCTTTTCATCAAGATCTTTAAATTCACTAGAATGATTCCATATTATACCCATTTTTTCATCAGCATTATGTGTGGAAATAATTGATTAACTTTTAGGAGGTTTCATTCTAATATAAATAATATAAAAAAATTTAGTATAACAATAAATAAGTTGCATACCAATGAAATGAAAACATGCTTTTTCAAATATCTTGAGTATATTTTGACACTATTATTATGATACCAATTCATTAATCAAAAATATTTCGTAAAATTATAAAATATTAAAGATATAATGAAGTATATGTATTTGAGGGGACTCTAAAAAGAAATCATCACAATGATTAAATATAATAAAGTGATATTCATATAGTGAAGTCTTTAATATTTAGAACATTAAATATAATGAAGTCTCTCATGCTTTTAATCTTCTGTTATTACTTGAAGATTAATAGCATGGGAGAAATCAACGAAGAGTACAATACAATTAACATGAGTCAACGAAGTCTTCTATTGTTTGATTTTTTTTAGTGATAAGAGTTTATGAAACAAAAGAGCTGATTACTCTTTTCTAAGATAGTATCAAGTGAAAGTTTTCTGAGTTCCCAATTGAAAATTGTAGAGCTAAAGCTAGGAAATGCAAAAAGAACCATTAAACAAATAATGGTAGAAGGCAAAAAAAAAAAAAAAACTCATTTGGGTTGGTTGGTAGATATTTATGATATTTACGGTGATTTATGTAACCACATTTTTCAAAATAAGGAATCGGTTCTCTAGTTTGTTGGTTGAACCAATTATTCGAACTGTCTCGAGTTGTTCTATAGCAGAAATGGTTGTTTATGAGTTTCGACCAGACTAGCCACTGGTTTGTGGTTGAATTAGTCTAACCGATTGGTCCGGTTCGATTTTCTAAGAATTGGTTATGCCCACTAATCCCAGAGTTTTAGAATATCGTACAGAAAAGCTTTGGTTATATTGGAGGACGATATTGGAGAAAGATCTTATGACCACTAGAATGCTTATTTTCTACATTGTCTGTATGAAGATGCTAGCAAACTGTTCAACTTCTAAAATGAAGCTATTTAGTGAGCTTAAACTACTCATTTGGTGACGAGCTTTCCTTTAAAAAGAACCCCTTAGTGGGATAAGGGCTTGTTTTTGTTGCATCTTCTAATGTTTTAATAGAAAATTTTAGTATTAAGTGCTTTTATTATGCATTTTAGATCAATAGAAGTGACAATAAGATGAGTCTAGGGATTTTAGTTGTTGAAGATTTGTTGGAGGATATGAGGGAGAAGCATGGGTTAGTAGAGTTTTGGGGTTGTGTTTGAGAGGTGTGGAGGGGGTTGAGAAAGGTGGAAGGCTAAGTTTTAAGGAATTAGGTTTTATAGGCTAAAGAAGAGTGAGGGAGGTTAGCTGATGGGGTTATTAGGGTTTTGGAAAGGTAATGTGTAGTTAATTATAGGGTTTGGAGTGGGCGAAGGGAGATGTGGCTAAGGAGAAGGGTTTAGGTTTTCGGTTAGTTATAACTTTGGCATGCTAAGAGGGTTGAACTCTAGGGTTTGAAAGGAGAGTAGAGTGGAGAGGAAGGTGTACATTGGAGTTAGGGTTTTAATAATGCATTATAACTAGGAAATTTCACAAACCAAGCCATCTATTGCAAGAAGGCAGGTCTTTAAAATTCATTCAAAGTCTCTTAAGGTTACATGATACATACATATATATACATACATATATATATCTCTATAGATATATATGTATGTATATATAGATATATATGTATGTATGTATATATATATATGTATGTATGTATATCTATCTATATATATATGTATATCTATCTATATATGTATGTATATCTATCTATATATATGTATGTATGTATATATATATATCTATCTATATATATATGTATGTATATATATATATATATTATATATATAGATATATACATATGTATGTACATATGTATAGATATATATATTTATATATATATACATACATACATATGTATAGATATAGATATATACATACATATGTATAGATATATTGATATATACATACATATGTTTAGATATAGATATATACATACATATGTATAGATATATGTATGTATACATACATATGTATGTATATATAGATGTATGTATACATACATATGTATGTATATATAGATGTATGTATATAGATATATGTATGTATATATAGATGTATGTATATAGATATATGTATGTATATATGTATATACATCTATATGTATATATGTATATATATGTATATACATATTATATATGTGTATATACATATATATGTGTATGTGTATATATGTATATACATATATATATATGTGTATATATGTATATATGTATCTATATATATGTACATATATACATATATATATATATAGATG